ACTCTCTAGCTCCCAGGCATTCCCAGGCTTCCCTCTGCAGTTTTCTAGGCAGTCTATGGAAGGAGAGGCCCTCCGGGTGGTCCATTCCAAGGATCAGCAGCCGGAACCGACAGTGCCCTATAGCTCCGAGTTAAGTCCAGTTCCACTTGAAGCATTTTATGGGCCCAGCCTGGGTAAACAGGGGCCCCATTAATGCACCAGGGTTTCACCTCTGCCGCTGTTGGTGTCAACTCCCACAGCCCGAGGCGATGGAGCGTGAGCCCCATGGCAACTTGAGGAAGGCAATCGAGGACTGGCAAGGACACTCTGACAGCCTCCAGTCTCCACAGCCCCATTCATAGCTTCAGGACAGACTGGGGAGGACAGGGGTTAGAGATGCACTGAGGCAGAGAGAGAGCTAGAACTCCAATCCAGCTGCTAGCCACTGTGCACCACCACACCCCAGGCTCTGTGCCTCTCCTGTGGATGGGGACATGCGCCCCCAAACTGCAGTTAAGGCACATGGTCTGACAATAGCTGGTTCTTAGGGGAGCAACTGGAAAGAAAGAGAGAACTCTGGCTTAGTTCTCACCCATCCCTCCCCATGCTCCACACACCTTTCCTGGTGCCAGCTTTGCTCCAGACTTTGAGGTGAGCCTGGGGACCCAGAGATGAGTCAGACCTGGCCCTTGTCCAGGATGAAGTCACAGTCTGATGGAGAGACAGGTGTGGATGCAGGCAATGACAATGACAAACCAGTGTGCTCATCTGAGACAAAGAGAAACCTGAGGATAGACCTCCCCCCTCCAACACTGCCTGGAGTCAGAAGGGTCAGGGAATCCCCTGGGAGGGTAGAGGGAACTTGACCTGAATGTTGAGGATGAATTAATCAGCTAGCTAAACTCTGGAGGGATTCCTAGGCAGAGCAATAGCACCTGCAAAATGACAGTACTTTGGAGGGACTCACGCAGCTGCGGCAGAGACTGATACATAATAAGCACTCGGTAAATGACTTCTGAATGAGTGGAGAGATAGATAAATCTTAAAACGTTTGCTGTACCTTGGGTGTGGGAGATGGAGGCGTGGAGGAATCTGGAAGAGGTTGAAAACTTAGAAAACCATTCTCAAGAACTTAGGTGGATCCATCCCATGGCTTGGGGACCTGGGACAGGGTTTAAGCAGCCAGGGGCAGGCTCTCAGGAAACTGGAGTTAGAGGTATTGGGTCAAATACACATATCCAGTTAAATCTGCAATTCAGGAAACAATGAGTGGGTTCAAGGGGAGAGTATCTGTACTGTTGTTACTCTTTCTGGCAACTCCAGCTTGGAGCAAGAATGGAGGTAAAACCAGAGTTGTGCTCAGGGGACTTTATGATGATGGCCTGAATGGGCAGGGGAGAAGGACAACTCACAGGGTGGATTATGGTTGGTTTTTTTTCTAAAGATTCATTTACTTATCTACTTATTATGTATACAGTGTTCTGTCTGCATGTATGCCTGCATGTCAGAAGAAGGCACCAGATCTCGTTATACATGGTTGTGAGCCACCATGTGGTTGCTGGTAATTGAACTCAGGACCTCTGGAAGAGCAGCCAGTGCTCTTAACCTGAGCCATCTCTGCAGCCCCATGTTGTTGTTGTTGTTGTTTTTTAATGGAAAAATGTTTTAGGAAGGCTGAGGATGTGAGTCAATTGGTAGAATGCTTGCCTAGTAAACACAAAGTCCCAGCAAACCAGGTATGACGGCACATGTCTATACTCCCAACACTTGGCAAGTGAAGGCAGAAGGTCAGAAGTTCAAGGCTACCCTTTGCTTTGTAGCAAGTTCAAGTCTTGGACAGTCTGCACTACA